AGTTTTCAACAGAGTAGAGAGAATTTTACTAATGTAACAGTGGATCTCTGAATTCAGAATAGATGTAAGAGTTTACCCACCCCTGAGGTTTTCAAATATTTGGCTGTGACCTAGTTATTACAAGATAGGTAGTGCAACTAATAACACACTTAATGTAAATACACCCAAGACCAAAAAGTTGGGCAAAGCAATTTTCTATACTTTCTATACACAATATACTAATTTTCTATTTCTTCTTTGTCCCCCCCTCTCCTTTCTTGGAATACTCACCACAACCAATTATACTGATTTATGGCCTTAGTGGTTACCACCTGTAAGCTAAAGTGCACTGATTTACTCCATTCTTCTCAGGACCGAACTCATTCCCCAGCTTTACTAATTAGTAACAGTAGGTTTGGGGTGAGAATCTGAGTCATTTAAGCAATTCCCAGTTTACTAGCTTTCCAATTCATTATTCTTTACCCTACACCATTTCTACAAATACTTTTCCCCATAAAAGAAAATGCTACGTAAATATTAAACTCTGAACTGACAGAAAACATTTATATCCTTACTTACTTAGTAAAACGGATTTCCAGATGAGAAGTCAAATATTCTCGTGGAGTAAAGGTATGTTCCCATACCACCATGTTTGGTACATAATTTATAGAGAAACATAACTCAGAAAGTGCAGTGTGCAATTTATCAAGGCTGAAAAAAATTAGTAACAGGAAATAAAAATTTGACATTTCATCACACATAATACAAAGTTAATTTTATAAGCATACCAAGACCTTAGCAGTAATAACTAAATTTTTTGTCTCCTTCAAATTGACAAAGTTCAAAATTTTTACTGGTATGAATAACTGAGAATAAGTATAAAAAAAACAGGATCAATTAGCTGTTTCTGCACTCAGCTAATAATGAGTATGGCGAGATCTATGGGTAATAGGAAACACTGTACTCAAGGACCATCATTTCCAATTGCTGGTATAATAAGTTATGGGAGAAGGAATACTGTTTATAAACTGACTGTGGCTTATTCAACTTACAGAACTAAAACAGGAGAAGCTTAAACACAAAACATCTAACCAGTTATTGACCACCTACCTAGGCCGTCCTTCCAAACAAGTTAATCAAGAACCTTGAATGTGCTATCTAGTCTGATACTTGCTTTGAAATAATATCAGGTATATTCGAAAACATAGCACTATATGCTAAAACAAAAGTCTGCTACTTGATTTGAAGTAAACTAAGAATTATAGCTTGCTTGTAGTATAATACCTCAAAAAGTTTTCAGAGAGATTTTTGACCTTCACAATTTAGTATGTCAAGGCAAAAATATAATCTATTAAATATACTACCTTCTAAAATCCAAAAACCTAGTTTAACCTATTCAGAATAAAATAAGAATAGATTATTGCACAAAGATTAAAAAAATTGGCTGGAAAATAAATAATATATAATTACTACCATTTTCTTAGTACTATATGTCACAGAAAAAAATGGGAAAATTTCTGCTGGAATAGAAAACAGACAACAGAAGTGGGTGGCTTACTTGGTCACTACCAGTCTGTTTTTCCTCATGCTCTCCACGCCTGGCTTCTCTCTTTCGGGCTCCCCTTTCTTACCAGTCTGCTTTTTTGACTTCTTATTCACTGCTTGACTGATGGTTTTGGCACAATGCTTAGGCAGCAACTAAATTCAGACAAGAATAAAATCTTACATTATACCAATTACTTGGAGGTTTTTTGGTACAGGAAATCAAACTCAGGACCTTGCACTTGCCAGGCAGGCACTGTGCCGCTGAGCTGTATACCTCGCTCCTACACCACTCTGAAGCACAATAACTATTCAAACCAGCCTTAGCTGAATCCAGACAATGTAACAGACATGCTAAGACTAGACAGAGAATAAATGAAGGGCAGAGCTCATCTGGCTAACTTAGGTAGCCCACACAGAGATTTTTCCAGTAGAAAACAGAAATAGATACATCTTGTGTGAATACATATTTCAAAGAGGAAGTACTATCAAGGCATATTCAAACTACTATTCAAAGGACAGGCAAAAACATACCAACCAAGCAAGAAACATGACAGACCATTTGCTAGAACTAAAACAGCCCATTAAAATACTGTAAAGACACAACTGCTAAGAGCATGATCAAAAATACTAGGTTGTGGAGCATAAAATGCAGTCAAGTGCAAATGGTTCTGCTGTCCAGGGAGCCTTGAATGATAAGCCAGAGGCTGTATTTTTAAACTACAAGCAATTCCAAAAATTGTGGCAATTTTTTAAAGTAGAAAAGCACAATGAGAGATTTTTCTCAGACTCTGATAAAAGAAAACATTTAAACACTGAAAACCGTAGCAAGGACAACCAGTCAAGAAGTGAAAAGGAGTTATAAAATAAGCAAATCAACAAAAACTAGGAAAAACAGCCATATTTGAGATAGAACTCTAAGAAAAAATTAACAGGGATTTGATAAACTTAGATGCAAGACAAAAGAATCAAAGATTTAGTTTCTACCTAATAATGCTGTTAATGCCACTGGTTATAACAAAAAACAAGGAATAAGTGGGAAATAACTTACTTTGACAGGTAATGAGTACAGCAGATAAAATGTAATATATTTCATTAGTAACGTGACCATATGCTAAAATATGATTTTGGATATGCTGAATTAGATCAAGAAGAAGCCTAGGGCCTTCAAATTGAGCTTTTTTTTTTTAGATAAGGTCCCACAAATTAGTTAGGCTATCCAGGCTGGATGCAAACTGGAGATCCTGTTTCAGCCTCCCAGAATGCTGGTATGACAGGCATGTATCATCAAGGCCTTTTTTTTTTTTTTTTTTTTTAATGTATTTTTAACATGGCTATTAGAAAATTTTAAGTTATATATGTAGCTCACATAATACTTCCACTGGACAGTGCTGGCCACAGAAAATGATTAGTCATACACAGATAGTAACTAAACCCACAAAAGCAAGCTATATACTGAAAAGAAACATGCAAGAAACTACATTGAATTTGTGTTGTGACAAAAGGAGTTCCCTCTTAAAAATCAACATTTTAAGGAAATATGTAACTTCAAGAATATTTTAAAAAAAGTCAGGTGTGACAATGCACACCTATAACCTTAGCATTCAAAAGAGACTGAAGCAGGAGAATCTCTCTGAGTTTGAGGCCAGCCTTAACACAAAGAGAGTCCAAGCCAGCCCAAACTACACAATGAGACTGTCTCAAAAAAAAAAAACAAAAAAAAAAAAAACCACCAAAAAACAGCTGAGTGGTTACTGTAACTCCTGACATAAAAGACATACTAGAACACAAAATCCATGAATTATATTTACCACAAAATCAAGGAAAAGAAGCATGTATTTTGCCTTTCCTTTACAAACTACCACTGAAAAGAAATAGACAAAGGAACTCTGAAAAATATTATAACTAATATATACATAATGATAAAAATACTTTGCAAAAACCAACAAAAAAATGGAATCAGTTGATAACCTTACCAAGACTAAAGCAATTAGATATTAGGGTCTGTTTCCAGTTAAAAGAACAAACACTGTACACGGCCTTGCCAAAATATTTACACCTGAAAGAAATTGTACCTGGTAATGTAGTATCAGCAAAACGATTTGGTGAAAGGTTGAGAATTAGAAAAAGAAAAGTAAATAGTAAACACATGGAGAGGAAAATTAGTGAAACAATACCTTTTACAATAGCACCGAGGAAAATGAAATACCTTGGAATTAATCTAACTAAAGAAGTCAAAGATCTTTTCAAGGAAAATTACAATACTCCGAAAAAAGAGATTGCAGAAAAAGGAAAGATATTCCCTGCTCCTGGATAGGAAAACCAACACTGTGAAGAGACGGCCATTCTCCCAAAATTGCTGTACTGATTTAATGCAATCCCTATCAAACTACCATCAACATACCTCACAGACCTTGAGAAGTCATTCCTAAAATTTATTTGGAAGCAGAAAAGACCTAGAATAGCAAAGGCAATCCTGGGCAACAAAGACAAGGCAGGAGGCATTACAATTCCTGACTTAAAATTATACTACAAGGCTACTGTGATAAAATCAGCATGGTACTGGCAACAAAACAGACCCGAGTATCAATGGAATAGGTTAGAAGATGTAGAAGCCGGGGGCCTGCCCCTTAGCTCAGTTCTTTAAGTGGCTGCTTCAACAAAGCAGTCAGGCTCAGGTTGCTGTGGTTTGATCCCCACAACTCAAGCCAGTCAAACCTGCCCTGAAGGCATTCGAAGGAAAAAAAAAATCCTTGAGGCTGGGAAGATGGCTCAGTAGGATAAGCGCTTGACTGGCAAACGCGAGTTTCAATTCCCGGTTCTGCCAAAAAAAAAGAAGATGCAGAAGCCTCTACGAACACACTCAGCCACCTTATCTTCGACAATGGGGCCAAACATACTTACTGGAAGAAAGATAGCCTTTTTAACAAATGGTGCTGGAAAAACTGGCTCTCAACATGCCAAAAACTCAAACTTGACCCAGGTCTATCACCATGCACTAAGCTAAAGTCAAAAGGGATTAAAGGTCTACACATTAAAACAGAGACACTAAATCTCCTGAAAGATAAAGTAGGAGGAACTCTTGAAGACACAGGGGTAGGCAAAGAGTTCATGAACAAAAATCAAATCGCACGGGAAATACTTGAAAGAATTAACAGCTGGGACCTGCTCTTACTGAGAAGTTTTTGCACGTCAAAAGAAATTACCAACAAAGTGAAAAGACAACCCACAAATTTGGAAAAAGTCTCAACTAATAAGCACTCAGACAAAGGTCTACTCTCTAGAATTTATAAAGAACTAAAAATCATTAGGGCCCCAAAATTTAAAGACCCGATCCAGAAATGGGCATCTGAGATGAACACACACTTCTCAAAGGATGAAATTAAAGAAGTAAATATATGGAAAAATGTTCCACATAGCACTAACCATCCGTGAAATGCAAATTTAAACAACACTGAGATACCATCTCACCCCAGAAGGAATGGCTATCATAAAGAAATCAATCAACAACAAATGTTGGAGAGGCTGTGGGGAAAAAGGAACCCTTCTCCACTGCTGGTGGGAATGTAGACTGGTGCAACCATTATGGAAATCAGTGTGGAGACTCCTTAGAAAACTTGCACTGGAAATCCCATTTAATCCAGCTATTCCCCTACTGGGAATCTTCCCAGAGGAACTGAAAACGTCACATCATAGTGATATATGTGTACCTATGTTTATAGCAGCACAATTTGTGATAGCCCAATCTTGGAAACAACCAAGATGCCCGTCACATGAGGAATGGATGAAAAAGACGTGGTATTTTTATACAATGGAATATTACTCAGCTATAAAGAATGATAAACTCAAAGGCTTTATGTTTAAGTGGATGCCACTTGAAGATATATTCATAAATGAAATAAACCAGACCCACATGTGTAAATATCACATAGTCTCCCTAGTCTAAGAACTCAGAAGAAATAAAAATAGAAAGGTATAACACAATTAAAAGGAAAGCAAGAAGTTGAGGATTAGACAACAAAGAGAGCAAAAGGAGAAAAGCTACGAAACATGACAGGGGCAAAGCCATACATTTATATGCACAAGATGGTTAAAGGCAAAGATACTGAGAATCTTCAGCAGGCTTTTGAAACTAGCAGTTAATTGGTAGGATTCTCACTCTGACTATATATGCTAATACCTGGGAACTAAGCAACTGCCCTGAAGAGAGCAATGTGTAATACTAGGGTCACGTTTGCAATGCCTGTCATTCTGGTCTTCTAAATACATACTACTTGTCATGACATACCAATTATTGCCATACTGTTTCTCAACTAAATGTTTGTTTAAAAAAAAAGGTAATGAAAACAAGAGACAAGAAAAAAAAGTCACAGGACTGTGTTCTGCTACAATATATATATATAGTTAGATTTCTAAGTTTCTGTGTAAAAATATGTAACTGTTTATTCCTGTTTTTCCTAATTTTTATTTTTTAATTTTAATGTTTTCCTTCATATTTTGTAGGGACTCAAAGTTTAACATATAAATACTTGATGGAAAATACCCGTTCCATGTTACGTCTAAGATGTTTGATATTCAGACAGAGAGGGAGGTTAAGTTCAACTGCCTAGGTTGTAGGGTAGTAACAATAAGCTTCTCTTCTGGAGGGTTAACAACCTAAGTGTGCAGACCAAAAATTAGAGAAAAAGAAGGGCTGTAAGGACAGCCAACATTTTGGCCCTAGCCTTTCAAGGTCAGTGAAGACTCAGGACATAGATAGGAGAACCTGTACTGTAAGATCAAATAACTCAGTTGTGTCCCAAATTTTCTGATCAAGGAGATTATGGGGCCACAGAGGAACGTGATTGATGATGTATACTGTGCCTGTGGAGAGTCACATGGAGAGAGAAAATATTCTCAGGCTTTCATAGAGAGCAAATTGGTCAAGCAATGGCTGTGATTCATCCACATGGTTGATACTGACAAAAGATCTACAAACTGTGGTACAGGGTTTCAGGGTAAATTCTGAGGGGACTTGACTGACCTTGTCAGATACAAAAGTTACATTTCTTGTTGTATAGGTCTTGCTTTATGTTGGTCTTAACCATCCAGCAGAAAAGTATAAAAAC